TTTTCAATTTCTTTGGTAGCAGAGATGAAGAGGGGGGACGGGGCTGGGGACAAGAGCGCGCGTGTCGAGGACAGGACGGGGCAGGACGCAAAGCCAACAACCCAGTGCCGGAGCTCATTCCTCAACCGAGAAGCAAAACCAGGGCCCAAGTGGCGGACGTGGTGGGACCGGCCTGGCCCCACGGAGCCGGGCGCCAGGAAAGATCCTTCGCTCCGAGTCTTTCCTCCTGTCTTTTGGCGGACAATTCCTGTTCAAATACCCGGTTTCTGTCACTAAAAATGTGCTTCTTGGCCTGCTTGGGCTCGAGGCGTCGCGGTGCGAGGTACCGGCTGCCTCCGGAGGCTCTTGTCGGTTGGGGACGTTCATGTGCGTGGGGCTTGGGGCCAGTGGGTGCTCTTGGGCACGGTGCAAGGTCAGCGGGAGGAAAGCGCCCGGTGGAGGAGACCGAMGCCCCCAAGGGTGCAGGGAAGCCCTCGAGCAGGTTTCCCAAAGCTTCCAGGGGGAGAAATACCCGTGATTCAGTAGGAGAGAGGCTCTGGCTGCTTGAGGACACCTCAGGGTGCCTACACCTTAGAAAGCTTCAAGACCCAGAGGATGCCGCCAGGAGAGTTTTCCTTGCTTGTCTCTCCTCAAAACACCTGGGGCTTTGGCCCCAATTTGTTGGGCCGCTGCCGCCTCTCGTATCTCCATCACCTTTCCCCCTCCACCGTGGTTGGACACCTTGAGGTGGCAGTGGCCCTTCTCCTTCAAGGCTGGACCCTGGTGGGTGGGTGAAGACAAGGCTTTGTAGCCAAGTTGCCTCTAAAACAGCAGCTCGCCCTCTCTCTCCATCCGTGTCCTCCTCCACTCCACCGGGGGTTTCCTCCCAGCCCTCCTGGGGCAGAGGAACCAGCCCAGTTCCCTTATTCCTTGAGCTTGGAGGCCATGGCAGCAGGAGGTCCCCGGGGACTCGCGGGGCCCAAGAGCACCCACCCGGTCRGTTCGGCCGCTGGGGGTATGTGTGTGAGTCCA